CAAAGGTTTATGAAAGATTTATGATTTGTGAGTTTAAAAGAAACGACAGGTAACCAGAAGGGTTGAGAAATTCTTTAGTCCATTTGTACAGGCCATTACTTGTTCACAGATGCTGAGTTCTGCACATATGTTCCATCGTTTCTTCTAAACTGTCTTATGAATGGTGTAAAATGGTGTAAATCTGCTGACCTTTTGGAGTATCTGTTGTTATTTATAGGACAGGCAAGATAAAAACTAGTTTATGTTTTAACAGAAATCCAGTGCATCTTTCCTCAAATATCTAAATCTCCTGCTGTGTCCTCTTCACCTTGAGTAATCTACTGGATTGATAAAATATCTGAGTCAAGAGATTTTCCTATTTCTGTTTCAAAGACCAGAAAAGTTAAGGACCCTCTATACACTGCATACTAAAGAGTTCTAATTCCATGGTATTTTTATGCAGTTGGAGTGATCTGCCCTTATAGATCTTAACTCAGATTAATCAAGTCTAGAGTGTTTCTCAATTTGTAATCAATTTAGACATTCTAAGTATTTTATTACACCAAGATGAATTAACTGAACACTTCATTTTCATGCATTCTCCCCATTTAAGTAAGCAACATTGATATCTGTTTATTTGTACTTTGTTTGAACTTAGATTTCTTTCAACATTTCTCCTAGGGTAAATGACAGGTACCCTTCATGTAAAATTTTTAATTTTCTCAACATCCAAAAAACTTTTTTTTCATTAGCATATAAGGGTGCTTAAGAAGATGCTACTTTTCCTATGTTTTTGGTCTGGATTTTTCTTTTCTTCAATAAACCCTTGATTTACACATTTCAGCAACCTGTAATGCATAATTCTTTAAGTTCAGTTTATTTGTTTTTTAGAGAGGGTTGCCATGGTTGCAAGAGAAATTTCTATGAAATTCTATGAAACACTACTCTCCTCTTGTAACTTAAGTCTGAATTCAATAAAAGTTGGTACAAAGTAGACTACACTAAGATACATAATTCTGTTGAGCATTTTTTTTTTTTAAATTTTTATTTCAGTGAATGGTGTTGCCATGGTTAATAAAAGTATTTTGAATTTTTTTAAAAATGCTTAGCTCCTCTGCTCCTGAACTATAGATTTGTTCTGATTTCGATTAGGGATGTGTGATTTCATCAGTATACCGGTATATTGTAATTTTTAATTGCGCGATAAGTATCTTGATATGGAGACTTGCATACCGGTATTTTAATATGTGAATAAATTATAGATTCCGGAAATAAATTTTTTTTTTGCTCAAACTTTTCAATTACAGTTAAAGGAATTGTAAAAATAAGTTGTAAAACAGAAAAAGACAGCAACATCCTAGCATCCAATCATACTTTATTAACATATAAAAATTAAAAATGAAAAAAGTAAAGTTATGTTGACACACTGTATTTGTTAGAAAAATAATGGAAATTCATTTGAAATATTAATAAAAATTGTGTGTAAATTAAATTGTTGTGTTTAAATTATATTAATATCGTGATATTTTTGTGAAAAAATCATGATATATCAGGATAAAATTTTTTTGGCATATAATAGCTCATCTGTAATCTGTAATTTAAATAAGATTTCAAACTATACTTTTATACACAATGCTGTGTTTTTTTTAAATTTCAAAGAACAATGTAGAAACAGTGTCTAATCATAGAATAATGTTTGAAATATTAAAGAAATTACTTCTACAATATATGTCCCCTACAGTACATGTCTATTTTCAATAAATTTAAACCTGGTACACAAGTTGACTAAAATAAGGCTCATAATTCTGAATTATTGGTAATATTGCAATAGCTACTAAAAAAGGGAATCCTTGAAAATCTTTCAGTGTGCTACTCTATTTTTGTTTTGATTTCAACGAAACTTGAAACAAGTTGAGAAACCATGAGGATCGATACATCATTCTGTAAATGTAAAAGTAAATTTTTTTTCAAGTCCAGGTGATTCTGTTCCCTTTCAATTGTAAAAGGACAAATCGGTAGAGCTACAGTCTTATCAGAAACTTCTGGTTACACTTTTCTCTATGCAAGAACTCAGAATATGATTATCTTAATTGTTTTTATCCCCTCCTCCCTGAAAGAATGAGGGCACATTTGTATGGCATTTGGGAGGAACCTGCATGGGTGCACTTGAAAAGTGAAAATTTCATTGATCTGTCACATGAAATTTTAGCATTCTTTTGATGTATCGTGTTCCTGTGAAATAGGAAAGGGAAATATTTTCCCAATATTGTGTTCTGATTTTCTAAAATATATCTTGAAATATGGCTAGATGATCGAGTCATTTGGTACAAAATGTTACATTTTTAAACATGTTTTTAAAGAAAAATTGCTATCTCCGGGTCATCTCTCTGTGATTTTATAACATTATTAATTTGTCATTTAAATTCAAAGAAACTAGCAAACATTTGTAAAAAATGGAAAGAAGACCCAGAGACCAAAAAGTGAACTTTTTTTAAAAAAAAAATTTCCATTGTGTAAATGCGTTGCTTCAACAATTGTCATTTTAGAATCCATATTGTTTGTGTAGCGATGATGGCACAATAGTATGTGTTACCAGTCTCAGGAATCAAGAAGTTTTGTTCAGTCCTTGCATGGAGCATTTATTTTTTTAATTTTTTTATACAAATAATTAATTTGTTTGTCAATTTGATTTTTAATATTTATTGATTTATTAAAATGTTATAATGGATAAATTTTGGTTCAATTTCACCAAGAGTGCAAGCATTAATTCTTCTAATCTACTGAATCTTCAATATAACTGCATTTAACGATTATAGGCTGTTAAATATGTTACAGGTGTTTATTATTTATGTGATGTGTTACTATGCTTTCATCACTATTAAGATAAGAGGACTTGAATATTACTACTTGACAAGGTATTTCAGTGTAAATATAATATTTTAGTATGTGTGTAACTTTGTAGAGTCTGTCTAGCTATATAATGGTCATCCGACCAAATCTTGGACATTTAAACTTTAAATGTTTCATACACATGATATTCCTGCAGATCACCCACCAAATATGCCCATCTTTCTTATAGGGTCTATATTGTAGTTTTATTAATCCTTGCATCAGGATTTGCATGAATTTTTGTGGTCAATGAGACCACATGCACATTTGTTTTCACATTAATACTGGGGTTTAAGTGCTTCTGGGTTTAAAAAAAAAATGAGGCTTCTTATTAAAAAGAGATATTTATGTTTCAATGAAGAATGAGTGTTTAGAAACTGGTGTTTCATAGCTTGCTGTAGAATGCCCTAGGCTTGAGTTGCATACCATTCTGAGATCATCTTGTCACTTGACCACTTTTATGAGAATTTAACTTGAGCTATACGTGAAATACATGTATGATTATTGTTATTATGCATTTTAAAACTTTGCTGCAAGCATTAACATTGATCTCATTCAGTTATTCTTCTAAATTTCATATAGAATTTTTCAAGTATCTTAATTGAGAGTAATACATGTTTAAAGTAAAGAACAACAATAGATCTTGAAGTCAGAATTTTCTCTTGTGGGAAGGATGAATGAGTCATCTTGATAACCTTGAGAACTTCTATAAGACCAGGAAAAATTATAGACTTCAAAGATTATGTAAGGTGCAATCAAAATTCAATACATATTCAAATATAACAAGAATAGTGCAATCAGATGCAGTATCCTAGAATGAATGTACAAAATATACTAGTATACAAGTAAACAAATTTTCCAGACCACTTTTAAAAGTATGGCCCCTAAAATGTGTAAATTTTTCAATTATTTAAAAGTATTAATGGATAATTCTATGGCTGTATAATGAAGTCAACTATTGATGATTTTACAGTTCCAACCATCTTCATCAATTTCCTCCCCTCCATTTTAAAGGGGGGGGGGGGTGGTCACCCATGTCCACATGTCTGTTAGTCCCATGTTGCAATCAGTATTCACACAAAAAAGTTTGACAGATTGAGATCATCATATATACAACATAAAATGGTTAATGATTAATGTGTGTACTTGAATTGTTTTTGGAGGCCATGGAATTAAATGTAGTGGGCTAAGCCCTGTGTTCTGAGCATTACTTGTGAATGCATTCATGTTTGCACCATGGGTTAAAAGGTTTGGCTTGAATTGCTTTTAGGGTCTTTGGATGTGACTGCTAAATAATAAATATTTGTTTTCCCTGCAATAACTTGGAATGGCATGGACATCCTGGATGGTCTGAAGAAATGCAAGGCTGATTCTTTTTTTTCAGTCACAAAGCCAGATGTTCAAATTTTCGTCACAAATTAATCTGATTTAAAGCAAAAAATTGTCATTGGAGTTTCATGGTCAGAATATGTGACAGGTGTTATTAAAAGTAGATTTGTTTTGCGAAACCTGGAGAGTGGTCTTAGCTAAAATGGTTTAGGCTGGGGTATATGACATGTAGCAAAGGAATTTGTGTCCTTTGGACAATTACTTTATTTCTTAAGTCTTTCTGTGATACCTTGCATAATTTTTAGGCCTTCAATCATCAAATCTTGTCATTTAATGCATTGTTGTAACCAGAATATAGGTCACAGTGACCTCATTGTGAAATTTGATAGTTTTGCCATGTATAGCGATATCATGTTCAATATATATTGAACATATATTGAGGCATTAGAGCTAGTGGATATCTTGTCCGGAAGTTATATGTCAAGACTAATCAGTAGGCACTGGCTCTGATTTACATCTGGAAGTATATGCATGCTGGCCTTTAGTATTCAGATTTTGTAATTCAAGACATAAAAAGCATTTATTACATTTAGACCCGTTACAGCAGTTAGATTTACAAACATGAGGGCTTTGTAGCAATTCTAAAAAAAAATGATATGCATAATACGCATACATCATATATTGCCCTTAACTTTAAAAAAAATTGACATTATGTAATTGTGCTGTCTACTTTCAATAATATTAAATGTTTAAACATATGAATAAATAACTTTTTAAAGAATATGTTGAATATGTTCTTTCAGTTGAAGTCTGCTGACATTCTCACTGCACAGGTGCTCCTTCTGTATTATGGTGGATATTGCTCCAATATGTTTTACAGACTATAAAGCCTCAAAGTCATAAAATCTGGTAATCTGTAAACATTCCTAAGTTTCATTTCCTGGTAGAAATGTGTTAAAGATGTGTTTATATATTTTCACTTGTACTTTAAGTTAATTTTAGACTCTGTATGAACCTGTAATATGTTCGAAGAGTTGTTTTATTTTTTGTAACACGTACATCTCTACAATTGTATATACTACATTTCTATTAATTTTGTCAGCTGTTTCAACAGGTTATGTAGAGACTTTAAAACTACATAAATTAAAAAAAAAATGCTGTTAATATCGTCAATGAGCACAAGAAAATATGCAAATATACTATCCATCCTGCATAATTGTTCAGCTCATTTCATTTCCACGTGGTCATGTTAAACCCTGATCACATCTTATGTAATGATTGATTGGCCAAGTCACTCATCTCAGTGACATTAATAAGAGCATGCAGGCTTAGAACAGTTATCTATTAGTTAAACATAATTAGTCCCAATCTGTGACTCTGTGTATAGATCATTATCGTTTGTTCATTATGGGACTGCCAGAATTAGGTACAACTCTGGGGTGGTGTTGGAATAAAATGCATGCTCTGGTGTAAAAATTGTGCACACCACACGAGACATTTGATGTTTATGATATGTATTGCAAAATCTGTGTTATGTTTGAAGTATGTGCCACTTTGTTTGAAATTGAATGAACTTGCTTTAATTACTTCCTTATTAGATTTATTGAAGTGGCTAGATGTTCCTGTTTTATAACTTTTTTATCTGACTTTGCATTTTATATTGTTTTAAACATATAAAGATGTATTTGCCAATGGGGAAAAAAAAATAAATGTATAAAATTATTGAAATCTTTTTTGACTCAAAAGTAGGACAGTTGGTAGAAAGAATGTGTGAGTGGTTTTAAATATATTTTTTCCTCTCTGTCAGCAAGAAATTGAGTAACATTGTAAGTAGATTATACCATTAGGTAACCCTAATGTGTTAAAGGGATTGCACTCTATGACTGGATTTTACATTAGATATTATACAGCCTTAGTGACAAAATGTGTATTAAAAATCAGCTTATTTCTGTCGGGTAATATATATGCATAGGTTTGTATTTCAGTACAGGTTATTTGGTTGAACTGACCAAACAAGATTATTACATCCTCAATTGAAATTTTTATATAATTGCATGTACAGGCATCCACACAGGGTGAAGCTGCGTATAATACAAACTGGTGACATGCGACAGTTTATTTATTAATCCTGAACTGTTATGTTTATGTAGACGTATATGACATTTCCTTGATATGAGCCGTTACAGAATATGCTTGTTTGACATCCTTTACATAATATTGACAAATACCTCGTGTTACTTGCATGTGCTGATCACGACAATTTTGCTTGAAAAATAAACTCTACTGACAAAAAGCTTTTTTTTTTTTCAAAGTAAATATTAGTTGTTCTCAGTTATTTTCCTTAATTGTAAAATTTATGTATGATGTCATTAATTGTTATTGTAAATACATGTATAAAAATGTCCTGACATATTCTTCTTTTTTTTTTATTCTTGTGGTTTTTGTTGTGAATTTCAATTAGATGTTGGTATTATTTTTACATACATCATCTTAAAATAACTTAAAGGCCATTGGACTTTGTTTCAAATTTAGATGAAAAATTTCCCTTTATTTAATTTATTCACTGTAGATAGATACAGTGACATAGCAAATCCCATTTGCTACCATAACCTTACTGCCAAAACAACCACAGATTTGGGGTTTGGTCAATAATATTTCACCTAGTTTAAAATTGCAATTTAGATGGCAGAATATGTGCGACTATCAACACAAAAAGGACGGTACGAGAGAGACAATGGGTGTTCATTGATTTTAGCCATAATCGATGGAAGGATATGCTTGCTGGCTATATTAATCAGCTGTTTAGTTAAATTACTTCGGAGTCCTAGTTATGATATTTACTTTGTGTGGAGATGACGGGTATTCTATTGATTTGTCTATGTCAGAAGTTTCCAAAAAGCCTTTGTCCCACATTTCAAACAGAGGGGGGAAAAAGACATGCTTGACTAGAGCTGTTTTAATTTGCACAGCTGTCAAAATTGCAAGTCGAAATAGGTGTCTGCAATATAAGCACCTATTCTGAAAGATTTTTCAATATTTCCAATCAGTGTAAATGAATAGGTCATGTATACCTCGTTTGTTGTACATGGATGAATTATTTAGCTCAGGCAGTTGGGCAGCTATTAGTTTATGGTCAAATGCTAGTCCCCACAGGATACATATTAACAACTGTGTAATGTGGCCTTTGGTCATGTCTGTATAGGTTAAAATGTGTATGTCTTCATTCGTTACAAATACTTGCTAATTTAATGCTGATAGTATTCATAGTACCAAATATTACACTACCAGTACAAGTTAGGTAGCACTGAAAGGTTAATTGCTCTACAGATCAAGAATTCTAGTAAGATGAGTGTTTCGGAATTTTTCACCCCTTCATTGTGTCAGTCCTCTCAATATTGGACAGAATGTCATTTAAAAGCATCGAGTGTGAACAATTATGGAATGTCACAATTGGTGAAGCTCAAATTTGGTATATTGGTAATTGAGCCTGTTGTGCATGAAATGTTTCTATACTCATTTAAGTGACTGTAATTTTATTCCCTTTTACTGACCTACATTTACGACTGTTTACAAAATTTTTCAATTGGACTCCCTGACCTAAATACATGTACGTAAGCTGCAGTCCCTGCACAGGTGTGTACATAAGAAACAGGTATTCATTCATAATTTGTGTTTGTGCAATGACCTTGTCTTGTGCGCAGTGGTGTATTGTCTCCACAATTAAGAGTCACTGCTGAATATTGAGTGACCAGTGTGTTTGACTATTGTTTTTCTGTATTTATATGTAGATAAAAAAAGAATATGCCGTTGCAACTAGGACACATATGTGCTCAACAGAGCATGATGACCTGAGGTTTTTACAATTTCATGTATATAATACATGTATAAGCTACAAGAGCTGTATACTATGGTTATATAAATGACCACAGTCCAGAGAGTGTAGACGTGGAGTGCAGTATAATCAACACTTATGAATAATTTAACATTAAGGAATTTTGATTAGGATTGTGTAAAAAAAAAAAAATGTAGCTATGTAAATACACACACACAGAGACAGAGATAAAAGCATATACAGTCAAACCTCGTTATCTCGAACTCAATTGGACCGAGAGCAAAATTTTAGATATCCGAGGATTCAAGATATTAAAGGTAAATTACTTGAAGAACAAGTGTTTGGGACTTCCAAATCACTTCGACATATCCATGGTATTTGAGATACCGAAGTTCAACTACTGTATATTACAGTTGAACTTTGGTATCTTGAACACCGATATCTCGAATACCCTGGATATGTTGAAGTGATTTGAAGTCCCAACCCCTTATTCTTTAAGTATTTTACCCTCGGATCCTCGGATATCTCGAAGTTTTTTCTCAGTCCCATTGAGTTTGAGATAACAAGGTTTGACTGTGCTTCCTTTACATCTCTGAATTTCTTTCACTACTCTAGATAATAATTAATTTACTTGTATATTTATTTACAGGGCATTAATGTGTGCAGATTGCTTTCATAAACCTACAATTGTTTTATAAAGCATAGGGTGACAGACTTATATTATCACTTTTATTATACACTTATATAATCATTTCAAAGGTTTCATTTTCTTTCATGTTTAATATTCCTCCTACATTCATTACAAAACCGTGTCTTAATATTAAAAAAATTTATTGAAATTACATTATGAAAAATGATTTGCACAGGAGTAGGTTTAAGTATAATTGCATAAGCCATTAGAAGGTTTAAGCAGATGGATTTCTGATGTTGACAGGCTTTTATGCCCAGAGGCTAGCAGCAGTTGGTGGTATTCCTGAAGATCAGGCACTTGGCATATGGATTTAACCTATGATTAGTACATGTAACCCTAGTTTGATGCATATAACTATGATAAACACAAGCTAGACTCAGGTCAGATATAATAGCCAGGTTGTTTATATAGCTCCTAGTTTTATACACCCTGACAAGGATAAAGATAGCATTCATGCTGAAAAATTGTGGACCATGCAGACAGGAGGCAAGCTAAAGAAAAAAAAAACTATTATCTTTTAACCTGCAAACCCAGTTTATTGAGAGAGAATTAATTTGATCTGCATCACCTATCAAATCTGATGAATTGCAGATTTTATAGAGCCAACTACCACAGCTTAATAACTAAGCACTATTCACACTAAGTAAAGCACCTCCCTTTCCTTTTAGGTAATAGTTTCTTTACAATATCAATGATCTTTCTTTTCACCAATTCTTCCCATTGTCCAAGATGTATCAACTCAATTCTTTCCTACGTATAATGTCAATTTGAAATCATGTTATCTCTTTGAAAATGTCTAGAATATGGCAAAATACATTCCCGAACTTAAGGTCAAGATCTAGTAAATAAAAGGAGCCTACAGATTTCTCAAATTTGAGAAATAAATTCCTTTAATGAAGCTTTATAAATATAGCTTGGTCAAATAAGGTGTTTTGGGGCATAATTTGTAGGCAAACAAGACGAAAAATCATATATTAAACTGTCATTTTTATTCAAAAATTAGGAAAATCAGTCATGTATATGGGAGTTTTTTCCATATCAGACAAATTAAATGTATCCAGATTGCCTACAGTCTCTCAGAAAAAGGTAATTTGTATGTTCTTGGCCTCTTCTTTAAAATAATATTAAATTGAATATAGGTATGGGGATTACTTTTCACATGATTTCAAATTGAATTCCAGGAAAATACTTTATTTTCTACATAATTCTATTACAGCCGTAAAGTACGGGAAAAAAGAAAGTTTAATTTGATTATGACGTCATAATGGATCTAGCATCAAAAATGCAGTCTAAAATCATTTACTAGATCTTGACCTTAAAGCATACCTTGGTTTTCTTGCACTACTTACTGCTTACAAGTAAGCATTGCATGTAAACAAAAACATTAAAAGATTGTTAGATTTCAATAAAATTTTATTTCCCATTTCTGGGTAAAACAATAATGGACAACTTGACAAGTATACACAATGATTTCTATGGGTTTGAACTAACTTACACATTGATCATTCATATTTATCACATACACACAATATACATATATATACCTAGTGTCCATCCACTATATAATAACAATTCTTTTTTTTTCAGCTTTTTTATGTAAATAAATCCTGAAGTCACACAAAAATGACTTTTTTCTCCATTTGATCTACCTCTTTACAAAGTTAAAAAAAAAAAAAAAAAATCTGAACAGATTTTGTGATAAAATCTTTGTCCAACTCGGCAGATCAAAATGGCCACTGTACATTATCACCTAGTCTGCATGCATGGTACCTCAATAGATGAAAAAACAAAATATGCAACATATACAGCCAAATATACTTTGGGATTTTTAAATCCCGGTCCGTTTACAGATTTGCCATCAAATGACCTAGTTGGTAAAAATGATGTTTGCATGTCAGCATGTTAATACAAAATTATTTCTTTTTTAACCTCAGCAAGTTCACACAATCTAATACTTGTTCACTTTGCACCGATCTTTTTCTGTTTAATTCCACGTGCTTTGTCACAACATAACTTGTGTATCTCGAGATTACATAATTTTTTTAACCGGGAATGGCAAGGAATTCTCTATATAGATATACATGGCGGAAACATACACAAATGACTGCGTCTTTCTTCACGTCATCACTGGATTTGGTTCACAAATATATATATTATATACACATGTACATGCATTATTTCTTTAACTGCTTTTTGTTCCTGATTGTCTAACAAAATATTAAAGAGATTAGAGTTTCACAAAAAATTTAAAACTTGTTACTTGGATCAATTTCATTTGTTAAAAAAATTCTGATAATGTTTCTGTAACATCTAATAGTACTATATTCTGTTTCTTTGCATTATATTTTGAAGATCAATGTTCTTCTTGAGAAATAACAGGTCATGTTGCACCAATTTGTCCATATTAAGATAGCACAATAATACGACAATTATCTGTCAGAGTAACAAGTTTGATTTGATATCATTGAATAAAAAAAAAAAACAAAACTTTTTTGCGTAAGTAGCAACCTCAAAAATTCCTTACTCTGTTCAATTTAACTCAAAATTGTGTGTGGATATAATTCTAAAGGTTTTCGTCGATTCACACTCTTGTATACAAAAAAACAATAAAGTAACTGAACAGAGAAAAGGATTTTCTATTAATATCTTTCACCTCCATTATCACAGTAAACAGCTTTATTTAATATAATCTTTGTAAAACTTTTTCAGGGATAAATAAAAATGTTGATTCATGAGAAAATATCTTGTCACTACCTCTATTTACATAAATTTTCCTCCTTGCCCTGTTTGCACTGCAGAAAATCTGGCAAGACAAAGTCTGTCTCATAGATCAACATTTCCACAAAAAAAAGTTTTAAAAGGTGCAGAAGAAAATGCTCCCTTCTACAAAGTTTAAAAAGTTTTTTTTAATAAGTTAACTTTACATGATAAAAATAAATTATTTATATACAAATAGGACAGGCAATACAATTACATAAATATATTATAATTTTATCAGTAAAATAACCCCGGACCTCTGTCTTTAAATTTTTTGCAAACCTTTCGTATGCTGCCTTGGGGAAAATTTATATCCAAGTCTTCCCAATTTTGGAATTTTTACAGAATTTGCAAAAATTGTATTTACAGAAAATCCAGTTAAACTCTTTCTTTGAAATAATACATAACTTTCACTTCTGGAATAAAACCCACACTAATTGCACAGGTAAACCAAACACGTAAAAATCAACAAAAATATTGGAGAAAAAATGCTGTATAATCCTATGAAGTTCCATTTTTATTGAAAACAGGGCACACCGGTTACATCAGAAGACTTTGGGTGGACGATAGCTTCCTTTGTTGGCCTGATGTGTAATATCATTGAGAGCCAGCATTGAAATAAACCCTTCGTATCATTCAGCAACTTTACATAAGACAGCTTTTTTTCCTCTTGAGATCAATATTTGCACAACAGCAAAAGATAACCCTGAATATTTAACAAAGCCAATTTGGTAAAGAATATTTCTTACCCCCTCAAAATAACAGTATTTCAAGCAGTGAAATATTCTGAATAGTGCCTTTACATCGTAATTTGCGTAGCTAATATTCCTGATGATCATAGAAGAATATAAAAAACATTTTGCCCCCTTAACTAAAAAGTACTTTCCATCCAAAAAAGTGGCAAGACTTCTGCAGTAAAGCACATACTGTACCGACGTACGGAAATAAAAATTGCCCTTCAACATGCAAAAAACAAACTGAGTATTATTAACTAACCCAGTTTTTCAATTCAATCAGACTGCAGTAATATGTGTCACTTTCATAAATTATTTAAATTCATGGTTACTGCCTCTAGATTTTCCTTCAAAAACAGGTTAAATATGGTACTAAAAAGTTATAAGTTTGTAAAAGCTACATGTGTTGCTTTGAAAACTCACTTTCAAAATAAACAGAAATAGATTTCAGAATTATAAATGTACACTTGATTAGACCTAAGCTGAAGAAAAGGGCTAAAGAATATTGTCCACTGCTCTTTGTACAACATTGGAAAAAATTAAATGTCAGAAATATATATATTTGGCTTCACAAGAGAAAAGTTACAAGATATGACTATACTTAGTACTTTTTCATTCTCAACTCCAGAAAAAAATTGCATCCCCTTCTTCAACAGCATACACATTCCAATCCTTTGTACACTATGTATAACAGATCTTTTAAAAAAAATGTTGAATTTTCCTCTACAAGTAATACATTCATACACATATATTTACACAAACAAACACATATTTTCTGAGAGTAAATTGAAAAAAAAAATCTTCCCTCTGTCTCTTGACATACATGCAGACCTCATTTATTTTCATAGGGACTCTGGATATGGAGATGAATTTAATACTAATCGTTTGGAATCATAACCATCGCTGCCACAGCTTTCATCAGTATCACTTGTTGAACTTCCATACCCTAAAATGTCAACTTCATCTGGAAAGAAAATTTTACATTCATATTTTACTAAACATGTTTTCATCAACACAGTTTCACTGAAAGGAGTATTTCCTGTATTTGTTTGGTTGGCAGTCATGAAAGGGTTACTTTATATTTATTTATTTAGGGATGTAAACATTTTCTTATCAGTGAAAGAACCTTGTCACATATAAGTTCACAGAGTAAACTGTGTCTTATGACCTACACAACTGTGAACAGGTACTACCACTATCAAAGACAGATTACAAAGAAAAAAAAAATTATTGAGTCTTTTCCACTTTATTTCCCATTTTATGTACGTACACTTTGACATACTGACTACCTGCTTGTTAATTATCTTCTGTATTTACACAAAACTACAAACACTGAACAATCTTTGCCAAAAAAAAAAAAAATCCACGCAGTATACAAAATTTAATTTGAAGAAATTGTACGAACCGGTTTCAGAATTTGAGGAGGTAGTTGAGTTGGTAGTGGCACTACATTCACTGATGCTGCGCTCCTGTCGCCTATACTGGCCCTGCATTAGGGACTCTAATCTCTTCTGTAATTGTTGCTGTTCCCTTTTCAATTGCACTTTGGCTGAATGACTTTTCCTTTCTCTGTCTTCCAACATCTACAGAAAGAAAGCAATTGATCCTGCAAAGTCAGCATGTTTTTTTTCATACTTTGCATTCCATTCATACTTCACCTTGAAATATTTAAAACGAAATGTTCTTGTATGTGTGTATTAAAAATGTGATCTCTAATTAAAATGAATTATATAATTTAAGTTTGTAATAACTCATAATTGAAATACGTTTAAACAATACTGTCACATAAGTTTACTGCTATCAGATGAACAGAACATGTGAAGTATTTAGTTATATCTCAATATAATCAACACCAGCCTGCATGAGATAAAAGAATTTCACTAATAGTTCCTATTTCCTGGAGGCATCATGAATAAATCAGTTTGCATTATAACACGTTTACAACTTACTGTTAAAAAAAAATGAAGTCACACTAAGTGAGATAACCCTTAAAAAGATTACATCAACAAAACACAGATTACTTACTCTGATAAAACTTTTAGCCTTTGTTAATAACCCCAAGGTTGTGTGTCTTGAGGAATCACCACCAACGGGCACAATATCTTTTAACTTCTCCAAACAATATCTCAAATGTGCTCTCCTATTGGTGAAAAAAAGTCAATGTAAGCATGAATAAACATTTTTTTTTACAAAAAAAAAAATAAGCAGAAAAAACTTCATTCATTTTGGAAAATGAAATATGCACACACAGTAAATATCTAATCTAATCACATTCATATGTTTAAAAAAATATCTTTGGCCAATTAAAGCTTGGAAATATCCCAACATTATTTACTCTTCCTTGGTAAACATCAAACTTCAAAGGCAAGCACAGCTGATCATGCAGATTTCGGTGCATGACCACATTTGTAGGATCATTATATTTTCCCTGCCAATTAAATTGGATAGAAAACAGGCTGAATTTCGTTTAGCCAGCTCAAGGTTGGGTCACTCTAACCAAGTCCTCCATCTATTACTTGATAACCTCGTCAACAAAAACAAAGCAGTTGTGGCTGTGTATTTATACACTATAAACTCCTATAACTGCATGTTCATAAATATTGACTAGCAGCTCTTATCATTTCACCAGCTAACAATACACAATACTGTTGATTAAGTATTCTGAATTTCTCCAGTACAGTTACGCCCACTTGAGATATAAAAAGAATCTGGGTCAAGTTCACTTTGTGCTAAACAGCTTTTGGCTAGGGATTTTTTAAATGTTTTGATCATGTGATCTGCCACACACTATCAGATTTTTGTAGTTCTGGCCGACATGCCCCACATTGAGCCAGCATGTTTACAGTTTTCAAGATGATTGTAATTTAACTCACCTATTCTTCTCTAATTCGTTGTGTGTAGACCTGAAAATAGAATTCATATGTAAAATACTTCATCGATAAAAACAGATTTCACATGGAGTCTTTTATCATTGATCTATTATTTCAGCTGCTTAATGCAATTTTCCAGATATATCACATATTATCAAGATAATTAGGCTAGTTTGCAGATTCAGGGTGTGCACAAACAATGCAGTGTTGTGTACATGTGCAGAAAATGCACATGCCTGACATGGTGGTTTGCAGACTTGATTATCGTTTTGTTTGGATTGTTGACCCTAATAGCTCAACAAGTGCAAATGGTACCTGTTCAATTGATGATGCTTTCTTTCTTTCATTTTTTCTGTTAATTTTTTTTTCTTAAATTAATAGTAAATACTTCTGAGGCCATGAAAATTTGGATCTCGTATTCAGTCTAGACGAACTCCAAAAACAGCGTTTCCGGAAGTAAGAAATTGAGACTGAAAAAGACTCCGAAAAAAGAGTCCGCGCATGCGCACACACACAAAAAATGGCGATTTTTCGGCAAAAATGATGGGTCTACAAATACTGTCCGTGCAAAGTTTTGGAAAGTATGGCAATTATACCAGTACTCAGAAATGCTAAATAAAAGACTTCGGAAGAGATCGTATTTGTCAGATTTTTGATTTTATTTGCAAAAAAGGAGATATTTACTTTCGAAGTTAACGTTTCAAGTCAGATCAACTACAGAGAAAATAGTACGTTTTGAGAAGTAAATATGCATAAAAAAGGGATATATCTGCAAAATGGGACAATATGTATTGTAACTGTTAAAAACTTGACTGAATTTTACACATAAATTAGCATTCAAGTTTTTTATTTGTGTACGACATCTGAATTGGACGCGTAAGTTTTTACCATCGTTATTTACCGATTTTTTTTTATCATATACGAACATATATTATTATGAACACATTTTTTAAACTAGTATCTATCAATATGAAGAATTTAAAACTGAACGTGGTGAAAAATGCACATTTCCTGATTAAAATAAATACAAGTTGGGTGTCTTCAAAAACAAATAGAAGCACCTTTAGTGTAGGAACGACATAAAATTTAAATCAAGGAGACAATAAGTTTAATAAGAAAATATTTCTTACCGGCAGTATTGAATTTAATGTCGTATATCCAATTCACTATTATGCAAGAGTTTGAAGCGATAAATAAGTCAATATTCACAAAATAATTTAATAAATGCAATTATCCATTGAACAAAAAATAAAATGAAGTAATATTGCACTAAATACAGCCATTATGCAGCCGTATATTTGGAGAAAGCGAACGATAATCCATCGTTTGTTTACATCGGACGCCATTTTGACGCAATGCATGATGGAGCCAAAGACTTCGTTTTCGGAGTTCACGCTGTTTTTGGAGTTCGTCTAGACTGGTATTGGGAAATATTCAAACACCTGTCCCTAGCAGCAGATGGCTGTGTTATTTTGGCGGTTTCTTGCCTATCTATTCCTTTTTCAGTTCACAATCAAGATATTTGATATAATTTTCTATTGCATTTAAATTTTTCAATGTTTTGGGGAAAAAAACTTCAGTTTCTTTTAATATAAGCATGCATTTCACATGTGCGCCTTTTTCCTAAACGACCGTTACTACGTGTCCTATCGGTTGGACAACACGAAGAGCTTTCCTCCTGAATTTAAAAAATCAGAGTGAACTCCCCTGTAGTTTAACCTTAAAATAGCATATCGATATATTCGTTTTTTATTTGACATTAACTTTAACAAATACCATATATCCCTATCCCTCCTCAAAGTTTTTGTTTTGAATTTTCGTGAAATCAAAATGGCGAAGTAGGTCATATGAACAGTCAGCAGGAGGCTAATGCAACTCAAAAATATGCAACAAGTACGCGAAATCGAACAAAACTTCTGAAGGAAAATAATTGTTTGATGTTTCAATGAGCTAATTATAGATGAAGAAAAATAATCAGATCAAAAACACTAAAGCAAAAGGAAATAAAACTCAACGACTATGTCAGCTGATTTCAAAATGGCGACTGCTTCGTACACGTGAAAGCTGAGTAATCAACAAAATCGAAAGAAGAATTTCCACTTACCGATTTCCCTGAGATTTCTTTGGTTTTGTTTTCTTTTTGCTAGCTAAATATTCCGGCATAGGTGCAGTAGAAGCATAACCATGTTCAGCCTCTGAAAAATAGATAAATCCATGTGAACTCACACGTACTCCTTGTAACTGTCAAAAATTAAAACACTTCCAAATGACGTGGCGAAACACAAAATTATTTTTTTTTCAATATTTACCTCTCTCTCTTCTATCCAGATACTCTGCAGCTTGAATTAATTGTTCAATATTAAACACATTGCAATTCTCCATCTTCAAACTCAGACTATGCAGAAACACTTGTTATCCCTTTGACAGTTCTCGTTTGTTTTGCCAGCGTACACGTTGAGGCAGTCAACGCAGGATTTGTTTACCTGTTAGTGCAGTGCGTCAGCAAAACGAATTTTATTGGACGAAAACACACGGTGACCTTTTCATCAACCAATGAAAAATTGTTTTACATCAATGCTCTTCAGGACTTAGAACCACGCCCCTGCTTCCATATTTGGCTGAAAAGGTGTTATTCAGTAGTAAATGCGCAATCGATTTGCTTAAAATATGCAATAGTGAAAATGTTCAGTCATGAAAAACGTGTGTAGTCGCAGATAGCATCTTTTTCCTGTCTTTATAATTCTATTAAGCATATATGTGAAAATTTAAAGATAACATGCAATAAATTTATCGCTACATTTTGCATTTTATATCATTCAAAAATAAGGGAAGATAAGTTATACGCACAGCACAATTTTGGCCATAAGAACATCCAGATTTACTGTCAAAATTCTGATTTGGAGAGGGGGGCTTAAAAAGAATGAAGGAACATGACAAGGAAATCAAACTCCATTACCCACTTGCATTTTTATTTATTTATTTTTTTTTATCATTTTTTTAATAAAAAAAAATGTAAGCTTGATTAAAAAGTGCTCATTTTTAAAGTAATTATCAATCACATTTAGCTAATTCTGAATGTTATAGAAAAAAAAAACAACAACAAAATACAGGTATTTTTCTCTTAGATCAAATTGATCAAGTTGCTACCTTTGTATAATTTCTTAATGTATACTGGAAAATAGTCCTGTTGATACAGATGTTACACCAGCATATTTGGTATATTTTCAATGCAATAGTACAACTATGGAGGAACAACTAAAATCAATGTTAAATGAGAAATTTTCACCGAAAGATCTTTCTTATATATAAGTATATATTACACACAGGTGATGTACTTTACTAATTAATTATGTTTACAATTATGACTTCACTGATTGAAAAATGCACACAATTTCATCATGTAAAGCTTACGAAGTGCCCAAATTAGCAACTATTTTAAAATACACAAATATGATAAGCGCAATATAGAAATGTTACATCACTCTGATTATTAGTGGGTAACATGATATAGATTTTCCGTTCTGAAGGTATAAATTGATTCTGTAGTCACGATTCTTTCCCTCTACTTACATACTTGATGGTATGCGTATGTAATTATTGAACATTTAATTACTATTATTCACTTCTAATGATAATGTGACCCAGTTTTCCTATCCTTCACTGAACATTTTCGTAATACGAACGGACTAAATTAGCGCTGCGGATATGCATGTTATGGTGTAATTTAAAAATCTAGAACATCATGAATAAATAAATATATATATATATATATATATATATATATATATATATATATATATATATATATATATATATATATATATATATATATATATATATATATATTGAATCTTTAAACTATAGAACACGTTGTTGTTTCAGCAATATTAGTAGAAGATTTCGTTTTTAAAGTATAATTTTTCAAAAAAAAAAGCAATTTCTTCTAAATCAAAATAACTTTAAAAAGACCTACTGTTTATGATACAAATGTACAATTAGAATACGTATATAAAAATTACTTATCGTAATTTGCAAAATATGAAAAATAAAGATTATGCATGATTCCATTTGCAGAGTTTGTATCATGAAAGCTTATAATGAGTTCAATAGGAAACTGTCTTGGAGAAAATTCGTACGTACTGATCAGAATTGGTCTGATTTCCGACACGCAAAGTGGTTTGGTAAAGTGCATTAAAGCCACTGTCTGAAGCAAGGACCTATATATGAACGAATTCTTGTGCCGCAAATTGTCTTTGGGAGGGTCATTGGAAGGCCTGTGCGTGTGGTTTGATATGAACCTGCTGCCTGTTAAATACACATTATTAAAGTATTAAACTATGAAAAGCTCACGCGTCTGACTATAAATTCACAGATACCAAGAGCTGACATAAGAAACTGTTAGGGGAGGGAAAAAAGACAGAAATTGAACGCCATTTAAGTACAAAGATCTGTGCAAGGATTAGAAGAAGATCAAATAGAGAAGAATTCATTGCCTGTCTCCTCTAAATAAAATGTTCAATTAAGTTTAACAAATACCCAAAATTCTTCCAATAATCAAAGTGACCGATGTGCATGTATTCAACACTTTAACATCTGAAGCAAGGCTTCCAGGGGACTGTAGTCTACTGAAACCCAAGTGTGCAACTGGCTTCTAGTTACACAAAAGTCCTATTCATATAATTTGGGGTCAGTATGGAATCTCTTCACCTTAAATGACCCCACGCGATCACGGCTTCAATTAGATAACCAAATATTTGTTTGCAGTGAACACAAGTAAAACATTACCTTGTTCTTTTTAAAAGCGATTTGATTTAGTTTGAATTTGGTTCAGATGGATTACAGGTATATCACAAACCCAAGGACTCTTTACACTTACTGGGCACTGATCGCCTAGTACAGAGTCAGTGACCGGTTACCAGGTGACCCCATTGGTCAGGGGAACTGATTCTAGTCCTATAGCCTATACAATCGTCATTAAGGGACACTGCATATACATGTGTAGTCACTGCAGTGCAAGTGGTTTCAACATTGTTTGTCTATATAAAGTGTATACCATGAAAGACTTTGTAAATTATGGTGGAGTACATAGGACCCTTAACTTTGTGGAATTTTTCAATGAAGATCGAAATACTGGAAATAATTATGTTGTTTTTGATCTATCGGTGTGTCATGACCTTGAGCCAGGTTCATTTGTTCAAGGTCATGGTTACAAAACTCTTGGCTATAACTATGCACTGCAGAGATTGCAGGAGTCCATATACTTGACACAAAGTTTATAGGTGATCTTACCATGTCTCAAGGTCATTATATACGAGGATAAAAGCTAGGATAAGAAAAGACAGCTCTAGTCTTACTTGAAAGAAGCATCTTGCCCGCTAACAAAAAATATTAAGAAAGGAGGGGGTATTGAAGGGTATCCATAGCCAGTTCAAAATACCCGGTAATAAATTTATAATAAATTCACTAAATGCAAGAAATGAATAGAGATTGTATACTGTTATTAGAATTGAAAATGATATGGGCAAAACTAATGTAGTGAATTTACGGGGAAATATGACCGCTTGTCTCTATTTAAATTCATAATTTTCGAAAATAAAATATTCCCTATTTCCGATTTTCGTAAAAACCTGAATTGTAGAATTAATTTAATTGAACTGAAGTCGAAAGGGAAGTATGGAATAGATATTAATTTCCCTATTTAATCACAATTATCAGCATAATTTTTATGCTTCAAAATTATATGTAGGCTGTAATTTTAAAACTTTGAATATTCAAATAAATTTAAAAATTGTTAAAAATTATGAAATCATATTGTATACTGTATTTAATTATATTATTGCTTTCTTGTAATATGAATTCAAATACTGAAATTTCGTGAAAAAGCTTTAAATAGATCTAACAACAGGTATAAAGGTTTCACAAAGCTATTGAAACACAGGGAAGAAACAATTTATCCAAATGCCTATAACAGTGCGACATTTAACTCCGGACACGACATTTGTCCGGACTTTCGCCAACCACTTTTCCAAAGATACATGGAAACCATTTATGTCATCTGGTGGGATTTTTTTAATCGCACAACATGGACTAACCTTTACACCTGAATATCTTCTAGATTAAAAGATATTACACCTGCAATCAAGAAATCCCATGGGACTATGGTGGGATTTTCTCTCCTAACTAATATCCCACCATTATTCTGTGGGAGAAAAATGAGTTCTGTGGGATTTTTTCTCCTATAGAAGCAAAACTCCCATTTTTAACCTTACATGGGATTTTTTATCCCATAATTTGTGAAATAGGACAAGAAGTTCTATAATTGTCACTAATAGGATTAAAAGTTCTCTAACAAAATGATTTATAGAATATTTTATCCTACAGGAGAATGGAAATTGTTTTTTTCTCTTTAATGTACAGGGAAAAACAGTCCATCTTCTTTTAATCTAATACAGTCAAGGGTTAAAATTATTTTTGAAAGCTTTTTGCCATATAATTCATTGCAAACTTAACATTTTAAAATCATTACTTTAATATTTCATTCAGAAATAAAAAAGTTATGGCCATTCAAGAGAACACACCAGTACGATTGACAGAGTATAATATGACGATGGATTCTCCCTATGAAAATTTCATTCCTCTTACAATTTATCATTTTATATTTAGAAAGTACATGCTATTGCAAGCAAAATAATATCAAATTGGCAAAATTTCATTCAGAAATAAAAAAGTTATGGCCATTCAAGAGAACACACCAGTACGATTGACAGAGTATAATATGATGATGGATTCTCCCTATGAAAATTTCAGTCCTCTTACAATTTATCATTTTACATTTAGAAAGTACATGCTATTGCAAGCAAAATAATATCAAATTGGCAAAATTTCATTCAGAAATAAAAAAGTTATGGCCATTCAAGAGAACACACCAGTACGATTGACAGAGTATAATATGATGATGGATTCTCCCTATGAAAATTTCAGTCCTCTTACAATTTATCATTTTACATTTAGAAAGTACATGCTATTGCAAGCAAAATAATATCAAATTGGCAAAATTTCATTCAGAAATAAAAAAGTTATGGCCATTCAAGAGAACACACCAGTACGATTGACAGAGTATAATATGATGATGGATTCTCCCTATGAAAATTTCACTCCTCTTACAATTTATCATTTTATATTTAGAAAGTACATGCTATTGCAAGCAAAATAATATCAAACTGGCAAAATTTCATTCAGAAATAAAAAAGTTATGGCCATTCAAGAGAACATACCAGTACAATTGACAGAGTATAATATGATGATGGATTCTCCCTATGAAAATGTCAGTCCTTTTACAATTTATCATTTTACATTTAGAAAGTACATGCTATTGCAAGCAAAATAATATCAAATTGGCAAAATTTCATTCAGAAATAAAAAAGTTATGGCCATTCAAGAGAACACACCAGACTAGTATGATTA